CGTGCGCGTACATATACATCGGAATGTCTCGACGCTAACATTGTTTTTCGAAACAGCAGATTTTTTTTTTATGAATTCGAAGAATTCAAAGCAACAAAGAATTGAACGACAACACAACAAAATTGCCCATTGTATGTTAGAACATTTTGTAATGGACAGCAAACGCCATGAGAATGAAAAAGCTACACGGCAAAAAATGTGTTGGAAAAGGTTTATTTATGTTCTTGTTAATCGTTTGTGTTGAATTCTTTAACATATTCGATTGTTAAGTTAATATATATAATATGTTATTTAAAGATTTTATGTTAAACTGATATTCAACATTTCTTAGTATCAAAATGACATTTATGAATAAACGATAAAATAATGTGTTTTAAAATGTAAATTCTTGGATAAATGAGTAAAATACGTGTTAATTTAATATATCATATAATAAATGTTAATTATATTTCCACAGTTTGTTTACAAATTGTGTCAACATTGTCTACTTATGATCATTTTTTTACACAATATCTGTGTTCTTTTCTAACATTCAACATTTTATGTTAAACGAGCACAAAAATTTGAGTGGATCGTTATTTGGGACACGTGAAATGTATTATATTGAACACGAATTTTCCAACGGTGTAATTAAATTCCTATTAAAAGTAAAACTTTGCAAGTATAAATATAGCTTTAATTAAATTCCTACATTAAAAAATCCGCGTCGATATAACAAAATTAAATTGGAATAACGTATAATAATTTCCATGAAAATTTCGTCAAGGGAAAGTCAATATTAATTTCCCATTGGAACATTCTGTATTATATAAAATAAAATTAGTTCTTTCTCTTTCCTCTAATTAAGGCGCCATTGTTCGAAGCGATGGTTAGTGAAAGACGAGCCCAACCCTTTTCTCCGTCTCTTGACAGTCTCCTCTTCGACCTACGTATGGCCTCGATAATAATAATTATGAAACTTGGCCGCGATAGTGAAAGTATCGCTTCGTACAGGACGTTTCATAATCAAGCGTAAACGAGCGAGTGAGCGAGCGATGTCGAATTCGAGCCGTTCGAGGCGAAAGCAAATCTCTCCCTCCGTTCGTTCATTCGTTTGTGTATCACATCTCGAAGCTATCGAGCGACGGTTTTCTCGGGGAATCGTAGCTCGGAGAAATTAGTTTGTCTTGGCAAAAGTGAAATCAGCGAAACAGTTGCGCGACGGAGTTAGAGAAAGATACGCGATCGATATATGAAAGTAAACTTTTGCAGATTTCCCGACTTTCGCGTGTCCGAAATTGTTAACAAGAGTTACAAGCTAGATATCGGTCTTAATTAAGAAAAATAAAAGGTCGAGTCAACTTTCTTTGAATAATAATGTAATAATCAAATTAAATCAATGAGCAATAGGTGGCAGCTCAACTACAAATATACTATATATGTGTATATATAATATGTATAAATTCAAATAGAATGATTTAAGCATTAAGATCCAGATCCAGATCCAGCTTCAATCATTATGTGCCTATATTTCCTATTGGTTGTGTTCTCACATCTCCAATAAGATTCTTATTGTTTAATCAAATCAAAATTTCTATCATAAAGTGAAAATGTGAAATGCGAATTTAAAAATTTTCGGATTATCGAGATTTTTAAAATCGTTTCGTTTGTGAAATCCCTCTTTCATCTCTAAATATTCAAATTAAAATAAGCTTTCCTTCAACAATCAGCAATATCTGGAGAAGAGGTTTTAAATGAATGATTCAGTGAGCATTTCTCTTCGCCCACGAGCTAAGTGTCTATTGAAGAAGAAGGGACGAATTACTTCCGCACCGTAGATTTTAATAAAACTTCAGAGAAATCTTTCGACTCGATCTGAACGATTATAAATTCAGCGTCATCACGATATTTGTGTGTTAGACAAACCAGGACAATTTAACAACTTTCACGAATGCAGTTCCACGCCCGTATACCTAAAGAATCAACGAAACCGCTCTCCCGAGTTATTAACCAAAGAGCAACGCATGGAGTGAAAACCAATTGTTCTCCTTCTTGGAAGCCCAACGCTTTTGTCAGCCCAACGCATCGTCATTCGAAATTGAAATACGATATTGTTTTGCGGAAATTTTATTTTCAATTCGCGCAGAAATAGGCTGCGTTCAGCAAAAAACAATTTTGCAACTGGTTGTAAGATTTTTTTTAATATACATTGATTGATTTATACATTTAGATCCAGGAACTAAGGGCAAGACTATGTATTAAAGAATTTTATAACAGTTGCAAAGCTGCACAAACAATGGACAAATCAAATCGAGCTGAAAGTCGACCTAAGGCGTTTTAAATTTCGCGATAAATACAAAATTTTACTAATAATGTTAATTTAAATTGTATTAATATTTCATAGTATTGAAGGTACATGATATTTAATTAACAAACTTGTCACAATCAGATTTTAGTAGATTTAATTTGCATCTGATTTACCGTGACTTTATATAGAAAACGTGTGACTATGTTGATTTAAGGGTGTACATGTCACATCTAAAAACTATATCAAAAGTATAAACATTTCATAAATTATTCTATTGTATTATTACATCTGAATATTTGTTTACAATTTAAGCATAATTCTCTTATTGGTTTAAAAGTTATTTAATTTTTTTTTTATTTGCTTTGATTCTTATATAAAATCACGTTTTGTAATATTTATTTGCAAATTTAATGAGGAAATAAGAATTAAATCATTGAGAATATATTATATATTAAATCAAATTTTATATATATACTGATCAAATAATAATAAATATTCGCGTCAAAGTTTATTTGGATCCACTTATTCGGTTAAAAGTTATTAACTCAAAATTGCAGAAAAATATAATCACTTTGCATATAACCATTATAAGCTAAATCACTCGTTTTTTGCAATTGTTTGATTAGCTTTGATATTGTTAAAACTATTTCTAAAAAATGTTACAATTTGTATCTCAGAAAAAAAAATAAATATCAGTGCAGACTTAGTGGAATTAAAAAGAATAGCTTATTAAGATATTTTTTTTATTAAAAAAATATAAAAGTTTGGATATTCCCATATGTCCCATGCTATGAATATACTGTTTCTCATCCCCTAGGCTATTATAAATTTCAAAGTTGGGTAGTTCATATATTTTTTTTAAACCAAATTAAGTTAAAGTTAATGGCTTATAAAATTAAAACTTAATTAAGTTAAAAATTGCATGAACAAAAAATTAATTCAGTTAAAGTTACGTTAAGATTGAATTAACTCAAGTTAAATAAAAAATTATTTTTTTAAAAACATTATTTTCACTAAATCAGAATATTCTAATTTTTCTTAAAATTACATTACTTTAAATAACAAAACAATATAGGTCATCAAATAAATTTTATAATTTATTAGTTAATTATATAAAATAACAAAAATATTTTTAGATGTGTTTTCATATTTTAAAATATACAAAATTATACACAGACAAAGTTTTTATTCTTTCTTTATCGCTGATTAAACATAAAAAAAGATAGAATGACGTAATAGCATTTCTTAAATGCAGATCAAACCTCAGCTTTAGCCACTACGAGTCGTGTTCATCATACACAATGAGTGAACTTTTTCTGAACTAATTCCATAAAGTTTAAAATTTTACAAAAAAAAAAATAAATGATTTTTAGGGAGATAGAAAATTTCCAACTTAAAAAAAGTTAATAAATTATAGTTTAAAAATAATTAATTGAAGTTAAAAATTAATTCATTTAAAATTAACCAAATTAAGTTAAAAGTTTTAACTTTTTATTTAACTTTTAACTTATTAAGTATTATAACTTATTGTTACTACCCAACTAAATTTTGATACTATTGAATATTCAACTATGATTAAAAAAAATAATAGTTAAAATATACAATGTAACGCCATCTATTAGCACGCGTTTGAAATTAATTTCCTTGCAATATGCAATTTGAGGCATGGTACATTATATATACTTCCCTTGTGATTAATGTTATTAAATATTACAAAATTACTACTTCATAAAAAAGAAATTTCTAAATTAATAATTTAACAAGAATTTCTCTACATTCATAAATCAAACATTCATCAAAGAGGAACGAATTATTCTCGCGACTTAAACAAATTTTAATAACTTACTTATAAATCACTGAACGATTCAATTTTATAAATGAATTATAAATGGCATTATCTAAGCAATCTTATTAGATAATTTGATAACTATTATAAGAGCGAAAGTTTTATGTTTCTATTTAAAGATTTACAAAATTATCTTTGCAACAATTAAAAAATATTTTTATTAAAATATTTTGCTATAATTACCTAAAAAAATCGTAACTTTACTTATTAATCTTTGTCACAAAAGTAATAATGCTTGTTAATTTTTATATAAAATGGTCTTGTTTTCCCAATAGTCAAATTTTGAAAGTGAAAACAGTAGTAGCGTAAGAATAATAATATTGCACTTATTCAACATAAATAAATCTGGCAATATCCAAACTTCAACAGAACACGTCTATAATACTGTTTCGTGTTCTTCTAATGGTTACATAAAACTCATCAAAATAAGGTCAAAACACTAATAAAATAACAAAGTATGTCAAAGCATTTTAAAGTTATTTTTTGTCAGATAAATAAAAAAACCAGTGAATATAAAAAATTATCACACAAAAGAAGACTGATTGATATGTTTATATATATATATATATATATATATATATATATATATATATGTGTACATACAGTGTTTCATTAATTACACACACTTGTGCACAGTGCCTTTTCAAATACAGTGTATAACAATAATATAACAATAATATATTTGCTCCATTACACAAAATGGAGCAAATAACGAGATAAAAGTAATATGCATAAAATTGGTTTAGAACGACATATGGATAGCAAACAGCATTCAGAGTTACACTACTCCATATTGGCAGTCGAAGTGATCTGCATTTCAAAGTAGTTCTCTTTCAAAGAAGAAAAATAACAATTTAAAATACTTACCTATGAAACAAGATGAAAACAGTTTAACAATTGTTGTAACAACTGAACCAGTCACACAGGCTTATCCGGCAAATACAATCTGTAACAAATGAATACTTATGTCAGTTATGAATGTACATATAATCTGGAATTAAAGTTTATATTTGATCCCCAGGTACAAAAATAAGACAAAAGAATTATAAACATGATCGCCACTCTACTAGCAACATAATGATAATTATCCTCGTTAAATCAACTGTGACTCAGTTTTTTGTGTCTCACAGCCAGAGAAGAAATTGATAATCTAAGAAAAAGTACTTCACAAGAGGAACCGAGGAACCTCTCGTTCATAAATTTTAAAGATTAGAGTACAATAAGAGTAGAACAAGAGACAGTTCGGTAGCGGCATGAATTTAGAAAATGTCCCCACGATCCGAAGTTCCGACACGAATGTCTTCGCGAATACCTCGCAAGTGACATCGCTGTTTTCCCAGGAAAAACACCGCTACTTCTCCATGACACGGCGCGGCGTTTTGCTCTCTCCCTCTCTTTTCTCTCTTTCTCACTTCCTCTCTATACACAACTTAATCCGAAAGTCAAGGTTGCGCGCGCGCGTGCGACTTACCAGTGTAAGGTCAGAGCGGTCATGCGAGGAACGTTGTTTATGTCGTCGATTGACAAAGCCGGGCGCCGTCTAGACTGCAGCAGTCTCGCAAATTTCACGAATCCCGTTCGCGAATATCGCGACGATAGTCGCGAACACGACGCGATGGCCGGGTGGGCCGAGATTTCCTTTCCTTTTCGTCCACGAAAGAGAAATGGAGCTCATGCGTCAACGACGAACCGACTAACCGTTGGCGCCGATCGCGACTTTCGAACTGTTGCGATTATCGAAGTCGCAATCGATGTGAATCGGACAACTTCGCGGTGCCGCGCTTAGAAGCGCATAACCTAACATCGCTATTCTGCCCCGATTTCGACGAGGCGCGTCGCAACGAAAACGACATTTCGGAAGTAACTACACTTACGCGTGGAAACGGCGTCTTGTTGCTCATTGTGCGATCACATTAAATAACTTCTTTCGCGTATCGTTCACTTATCACGTATAAAAATAGCCTCTAAACGCGGACACGATTGGCGCCTTCATTTGACTCGCGTTAATTTCATGATGCTCCGCAAGTCCCGTGATCAGTAATGGCGGGACAATCTCACTAGACTGCGCATGCGTGCACTACCGTCTGTTGATTACGAATACGGTTAACGCGATGCTACAAATACTTTAAAGCAATTTTTGATTGGTCAATTTGTAAAATTCTTTTTTTTAATTGCTCAACCAAACGCTTCAAACATTAAAAGCATTTGTAGTGAGACTTTGACCGCAGCCTATGTGTCTTGTCTTGTGTCTTATTTTTCACAATGAATGATAAAATGCAACAGATTCTATTTTTCATAGATGCCAGTCTTGGATTCATAACAAGGAAATATTTTGAAATGAATTTATAATGTAAACAATCTATTTCTATATGGTATCAAACAAAGAAGTTGATCAAATAAGCTAGTTATTTTTATATTTTCATTACAACTTTAATAAAGCCTTTTTCATTCATTTATGAGTCTGTGTTTATATAACATTTTTTTCTTGAAATTTAAAACAAAGTAAATTGTTCCAATAAAAAAAAATTCCAACGAATAAAATTCAAACGTAGAAAAATACATAAAAAGCTAGGGAACTTGGCTGACAAGATTCAATTTCAATTTAAAACTAATTTTGTAATCATTCAGATTTGTTCATAATTTCATTTTTTAAATATAACAATACATTAAATTATTTATTATGTCGTTACATAAAATAATGAAAGTATGAAGGCGATTATGAATCACAAAATCAAATAAAAATATTTTCAAATAACTTAAGTAATCGGACAATTTCCAAATCACGTTGAAAGTACCAGTTCTCGTCCGATCACTAAAGTTGAGCACGGTTACTTAGATGGGTGACTGCTTGGGAACACCGTGTGATGTTGTCCCTCAATTTTTTACTTTTTGCTTCTAGAAGGAAATCTTGTAGAGATCATACTAATAAAATATTAAGAATCGACCAGTGACTTCAAAGAATTTTTATACGATTTTTTTTTACGCTCAATAAGGAAATAATTGACCAATTATCGATATACAAATCAATTTTTTTATTACTAACATAAGTATTTAAATAATTAATTTTTAATGCAATGTAAAATTCGTCATATTAAATGATTTATATTTCATCAATAAAACATTTATATTATTATATTACATATTTCATTAATAAAAATGCATATTTAAGATGCAATGATATATATTGTGAATTTTTTTTCCATAATTATCGCTCACACGGATAATCAAATCCGAATAACAAAATTGCAGTTTTAAATTGAATGTGAATATTATTAAGCCCTAAATGCATGTAGATATATATGAAACATTAAGATAATAAATCATAATATTAATGTCATAAGCATTGTATGATATTATGAATTAAATCTAAATTTAAGTTATATGAATTTTCAAGATTGTCGGTCTTTAATATCAGGTACTTTATTAGTGTCTATATAACTTTTTATCAAATATTTTTTATATAAAATACAATGAACGAAAAATAAAATGCAATAAATTAGTGATATGTAATAAAGAAATTAAAAGTTTAATTCAGTCATTAAACTTTTAATTTCTTTATTATATATCACTAATTTATCGCATTTTTCGTTCATTATTATTTTCCTTATTAACTATTATAAAAATATATATACTTTTTCTTATGTTCATCAATTATGATCCATGTTGTTCCATAAATTGTTTAAGAAGAGACTTATCAAGAGGTATCGTCAGATGTTCAGCGCCGTCAGCTGTACGTTTAATTCGTAGCAATTTATGATCAATGAATTCAGTTAACTGTGCCCTTAATGTCAAATCAGAACTAACTAGAAACTGTTCGCGCGCTGCTCGATATAGATCCCTAAACGGCATCCCTAAAATGGCATCATGAAATGATCATTAAATTATCATCAAATATAGTTACTATGGCATAATAGAACTGTAATTGATTAAATAATAATTACCTGTGAAATTACTACTGCTGTTGCTCAATTGATATTCGACAAGAATCAAATAAATTGCTCGAGCATTTGACGTGAGGGACAGGAAGACATTCTGGAGAGAGGATAACACAAGTCCACTGCTTTGCTGAACCAATAAGGAACTTTCATATGATGTTTCTGCTTGATATGGCAATAATGTTGTTGCATCCCACCAATAAAAATTAAATTTGGCGCATTTTACATGGTCCCAAACTAAATCAACAAATTAGCGACATTAACCATTAACAAATCAACTCCAAAATCAGCATAATGATAAATATAACTTACGAAGTGGTGCATTTATGTGATCAACAGATGCTAGGATATGGATATTTGGAATAGCTGCTAAATTGGCAAGTATATTTTGAGCTTTATTCGAACGCAGCATTACTCCATCAATATTGTGAATTAATAAATAAAGTCGATCATCCGGATTATCTCCCATAACTGTTTCTATAAGTTCCAAACAATCATTAAGATTTGTTGGACAATTTAAGTCTAACAAATCCATTATTATGTTATCAAGTATCTGAAATAATATTTAATATATAACTTTCATACATATCTTTTTAATTAATAATAGATTTAACATACATCTTTTAGTGTTAAACTAGGAAAAAATCCATTTATAACTAATGTTGGATGATCTTCTATAATCTTATTATGAAAATCATTTATCAAATTTCTTTTTGAGCCTACTCCATGAAGTAGCAAACTGTAACCTTCTCTAAAATGTAACACAAGTTTTTAAAATAATGTTTCATTAAAAAATACTCAATATATATAAAAATATTCATATATTTAATACTTACTCCAATATGAATTGCCACATAGGAAAAAACGACGTACAATTTTCTGTCAATGAACAAATACGTTTTTTGTGTATCGTAGAAATATGACTTTGATTTATTAATAACTTTCCTAGTGATTCTTCAGTGAGACGAGCGTTCTTAAGTCTTTCTAATGTACGATCAGATGTAACTGTTTTTTCTGATTGAAATTCAAAATATTCGTCGGTTTGTATGTGCTTTAAATATTAAAAAAAATTCATCAATAAACTATATATATATATATATATATATATATATGGATCATAATTGAAATATTTATATATAATTTGCTAAATATTTAAGACTATCTTGTTACTCTCAACTTACATAATCCTTGTAAGCAACAGTCTTACGTCCTCTCCCTGTTTTCCTAGGTGTACTTTGTACCTCACGTTTCAATAAAGGTTTCACTTTTTGTATAACTTTCCTTCTAATATTATTTTCTTGGCTTACATCAGAGTTGTCACTATCTTCACTTTTATCAGAAGTTTCATAAGATTCTAAACTGGTTTCATCATTTGAAGGTATATATTCACTGTCTTCTGACACGCTTTCATTGCCACTTGAAGTTACACTGGGCAAGTATCGTTTTCGAGATACTAAGTTATCAGAAAAAAAAGAAATTAAAAGATGCAAATACATTTTTTACAATTTGTAACAAAGTATGTATTTATGAAATAGGATACCTTTGATATCCTTCTTAACTATTTGATTGTTAGAATTTATGATAACTTTGTCAAGAATCACTTTTAAGATTGGAAGTGTTTTAAAACTTTTTGGAGTCTCAGGTGTGCGGCACTGATTAGCTTTAATCATCATGCTATTTCTTTTTGTTGGTGTTTGAAATCCATATAGTTTCCTTCCACTTACATCCTTCTCAGAAAATAATTCTAAAATATATTAACACAATATTAGATGAGAATAAAATAGTACTATTCATATAAATCTTTAGCAATTACCAAGTGGTTTTTGTACATCTTCTTCGATATCTTTTAGTTGTTCCTTTATCTCAGCATTCAATATATTAGTTTGTGCTACAAAAAGATAAACAATGCACTGATTACAGACAATGCAGTACAACAAATCATAGTTTGAATTAAAGTGAGTAAATCTTAAAGACAGACTACTTCTACAAAATTTATATTAATGAACAATTATATTATCTAACCAGAATGTTTATAATAATTTATATTAATGTAATCTTACGACTGCTAACAGGTGTTTCCTCATCACTGACTTCTGTGTACTTCACATGAGGTTTTATTCGCGTAGATCTCCTCACATTTCTGGCAGAAGCCATTTTTCAAAATTTTCTATGTCGTACGTCTTTCTTTTTCCTAAACAGTAGTACTAGATTTCCTAATCGAATCCTATTTTATAATAAACTAAGATAACAGAGTAATGTAAATATTTGGTTAAAAAATATATGAAATGATAATGAATATATGAAAAATGAGATGAGTCATTAATCTGGCAACAAAAAAAACGACGCCCACGAAACCCACGTGTGTCCCACGAATCGAGATATTAGATATTAAAGACCCGACATCCTTATGAAAATACACGTTCTTGTTAATGAAGTGATTAAAAGTAAAAAAAAAACTGATAATATTGTACTAATTTTATGGCTTATTAGCAGAGAGAAACCTGAGAAGCCATGTCGGCTTTTTTCCTGTTACCGCCAAAATCGGCTAAAGTCACTAGATATATAAAAGGAACTTTTCAGCACAAATCGACAAGAGTTATTCCGTCTTTATTTTTTACTGATTATTGAACAAGGACAGAATGACTTGTATCAATTTGTTTCTTGCTGGAAAGTTCCCTTTTACGAGCTGCTCTAAGAGCTGCTGAAATCACACAGTGCGGAAAAGGGCTGCGGAATAGAGAATGTGTCATTGAAACAATTAATTAGCGCCATTCGGAATAACGCAGAAGAACACTGATTGGTTGTTTCAATGACACATTCCGCAGTTTGTTTAACGTTCACTAAATAACAAGGCTAGAGTGATACCTGAATGGCATTCAAATGGGAATCTGAACATAACCAGAGGATCGATTATTTGAAAAGCAAAATTTGCAAACAGATCTAAGAGAATAATTCTGTGATTGGCGATCCACTAATTCGCTGCTTGGAACATGAGCCTAAAAGCGTAAGGGCGCGTTTTATTGTACATCTTGATGGAAAGGCAGGAAAATAGCAGCCAATCAGGGGATCGATTCTGTATCTTCAAACAAAATGAAAATTACAAAAGCGAGCAAATTTACTAGATGTTGACCAATGAAATAATCAGTATTCTAGTAAATTCGTTCACTTTTATAATTTTCACTTCATTTCAAGATACAGAATCGATTCCCAGAACTAGGGATCGATTCATAGTCGATTCGTATTCATAGTCGATTCGTATTCATAGTCAGACCTTGTACTCCAAGCTTCCTTAAATTTATCTTTAGATGCTCAATAACCAATGAAATAATTCGTTGAGTATCTAAAAATAAATTTAAGGAAGCTTTAAATATAAAGTCTGAATACAAGTATTTGACCATAGCCTCTATGTACTACTTACTACCAGCACGAGTTCTTATTGGCTACTACTTTTCCGCTTTGGGAGCGTTTATATTGGCTGTAATCGTATGCCGTAAACTATAAAAATTAATCGATCACCTTTGAGTATTCCCTTCTTACTGCCGAATAAGAGAAGAATACTTGACTGTGATTAGTCAATTCTTACAGATTACGTCATACTGTTACTGCCAATATAAACGCTCCCTTTAGCCTATTTTACAATCGTAAACGTAGTTGTAAGTGGTTGTAAAAAGCATAGTTGTAAAAATTGACCAATTACAGTCAAATATTCTCCTCACATTCGACTTGATTGGTCAATTCTTACAACTACACTGCTTAGGCCGGAATCAGACTATGCATTAAAGATTGAGATTAAAGATTAAAAATTGAAATTCCAATGAAGCAAAGAAGTTTTGGGTTCTTTTGTTTTGATTGATTAAACTTCAATTTTCACTCTTCAGTAGGTTTTTCTGCTGTTCCATCGAAGTGTGAACGCGCCCTAAAGGAATAGGAGGCCAGAGATGAAAGAGAACGAACGTAATGAAACATAACCTATCAAAAGTATCAAATGTGCTCGTGTTACTATGCTTGGTGAAACCATTTTGTCGAATAGTTTATACCATAATTTAGGACAATTTAATAAAAATGACAGACTCCGCTAACGAAGACTCGATAACGGAACTGAACACGCAATTGAATAAATCGATGGTATTGATGGAAAACGTCGAAAATATGCCATCTTCAAATCATAAGCGTAAATCTATCACGATAAAGACAGAAGAGCAGCTGTCCAAAGTGCGTAGCAGTCCTGTTAAATCACGCAAAAGCATTCTGAAAAAATCTAACAAATCGCTTAACAAAAGCGCGGCGGATGATGAGATTGTGCAAACTTCAAACGACGACGCTAACAGATCTAACGAAGTGACATTTAACGGATTGTCATTATCCACCTCAGTTTTGCCCAGACCGCACACTGTAAGTGAATCATTATTCCGTTTAAATTTTTGTTTTTCTTGTTTTAATTTTAATTATAGTTTCTATATATTTGTTTCTACATAATTAATTTCTATTTAAGTATAATTTTAATTGTGAAAGAACAAGTCTGTGCTATTGTCTATTTATCTTTCAGCTTAAAGAAATAGTTGAAAAGGAGACATTGAATGAGGAAAATGTATCTTCTACATTTAATTTGGAGGATGTATCGGACAGTGAAGAAATCTGGATAATGGACATTCCTAGATTAGTAAGTCTAGACAATGGAAGGAACTAGTTTAATCTCAAAATTGTCTTAAGCATTGACGAGATACTATTAAAGACATTCAGCGGATAGAAGATTGCATGTTAAAATTTAAGTGATTAAGGCTCAGTTACACCAACGTTACTTTAACTTTAAGTAAGGATTAAAATTCTCTATCTTATTTTAAAGCAAAAGAGAGACAGAGAGAGTTTTAAGTCTTGTTTAAAGTCAAAGTGAAGTTGGTGCAGCCTAAAAGTAAAAAACTGATAATAATACTAATTTCATGATTTAGTTTCATAGACATGAAACTATATGTATGTTTATAACTTAATAATATTTGATTTTTATTTAAAACTATGATTTTAATGTTTTCATTTTAATTTGATTATCAATAGAGATGATAACTAGAAAAAAAATTGTAATTTTTCGGCAATATGTAAGATATAGTATTAAAAGTATGCGTACTTATTTATACAGTATTTATATAATAAAAAAAATCATTAATTTAATAATAAATTATCGAAATATTTATGTTAATAATTGTAAATTTTTATCAGTTGTCAGTAATGTTATTGTTCTTTGCTTGTTCCTGAATCCCATTGACAAAAATTTGTCAAGGGCTAACAGTCTTTAATAATATCTTGTCAGTACCTTAAGTAATGAGAACAATTTTAATATCTCAATTTATAATAGGTGCAGATTTCTTTAACCTTTTGTTCTAACTTCTAAATTATGGCTTTTCTGGCAAAAAATGTTTCCAATATTATCTTAAAGACCATGGCATACAAAAAAACTGAAGCAGTAAGCAAATTGATTAATCACAGTAGAGTCGATAAGACCATAACATAAATAGTAACCAATTCAATATGTTTATTTCCTTACTGCTTATGTTTCACTGTTTTAAGTCTTTTGTAATAAGACTCTTTAATATTCCATTGTGTTCTATTTAACATTCAACACTTGTGAGTATCATTTCATCTTCTTGTCATCAAATATTAAACAAGGATAAGATGATGCATACGAGTATTACAAATATTAAAGAAAACACCCTAAAAGTATATTCAAACAAATTTGTGTAATCATATTAATGTATACATAAGGAAAATTATTCAATTGCATTTTATGTGCATAACAGAAATGCGATTAAATAATTTTCTTTATGGTTATCTGAATAGAAGTTTTAAAAACAAACTGGTTAGATTTCAACTATAAAGTTTAGAGCAAATTTAGCTTATAGCAAATTAAGATCAGCTTAAAGCTTAGAGCAAAAAATTAAAAGCTTACTGTAGATCTGTTCTTTTCAAAGAATTGAACTAGTTCTGATCTCGTACAATAAATTAGAGTGAAACAAATTACCTGTCTCATTTTAATTTATTGCACCAGCGTACATCAATTCGGAACTTGGAATAGTATTTCAAAATTGTATTTAAGACAATTTTGAAGATTGAACTGGCAAAATGAATACTAACCTGTTTTTAATATCTCAAGGCATTGACGGTATGATCTTCCGTTATGTTGTGTTACATAGATAGAGCCACAAGATCTTCTTGGTCAGACTATAGTTTTCAAAAACAAATCAAAGTTCAAAATTAAAGACGAACGATATTGTATAGTCACTCATAACACAAATCACAATGTCACATGTGTTCTTCATTCCAAGAAGGATGCTCCACAGTACAAAACTGGTAAACAAATTTTTATTATGAAATCAAAAGAGAAGTTTTGCATGTTTTTTTTGTTATATTATTCCCTTTTATATTAATGCTGATATTTCCTGCATAGTAAATATCAAGCCAGCTGGTTTCTTGTCAGTAAGAAGAAAATTGTCTGAAGCGCCAGAAGTAAAGCCGGTACCTACCGAGAGCTCTGGCGTACAATTCCCTGATAATTTAAGAACAAGGCATCCATTGTTTGGCGTTATTCACAAACATGAAAAGAGCTCAAAGAAACGTAACTCAGTCAAAACTAGAAATTAAATATAATTTAAATTTAATTTGATTTAATTTGATTTAATTTAAATGACTTTGTAAAATAGATATAATAATTTGGTACAAACCATTTTTTAAAACAATCTGTAAAGATGTTTACCTTGTCACACATTATAATGATTATGAGAGTACATAATTTTTTTAAGTTCATTGTTCAACATACTTGAATGATAAGGATAATATTTTATATATTGTAATTATTGTAAAAATATATATAATGCATGTGTGTAATAATATGAGTTTATTTTGTACTGTTATGATCGTTAAGTCTACCTGTTCATAAGCGAAATGTCAAAAAGTTTGGGATACACCCTATTCAGTTTTAGTATTTATTTTTATATCCAGATATAAGTAATTATAATATTTTTATATTGCAAAAAAATTTACAGGGACTACAGATGTTATAGTCTTAATTATTTGCAATAATACAATAGAACTAATTTTTAAGTTGCAACTGCTGTTTCGAACGATGGATTATCATGGAAATTCGAGCTTATATCCATTGACTACATCAATTTGGTACAGACTTAGCTGCGAGATGGGAAATTGGTGGAAATTTAGAAAACGAGCTGGTAAAAGAACACAATACAAATCAAAGACGAAGGGGTTCCACACAATAAAAAGAACAAAGAATAAGAATTTCAACCTATCATGTATTGTGAAGAAATTATATTATGGAATACATAGTTCCTGATAGGTTGAAATTCTTATACTCTGTTTCCTGTTATTGTGCGGAGCCCCGAAAGCCACATGGTCTAGTTTACATCATGCACTTGATGGTGATACTTACTAGTAACTTTCTATTGAATTATTTCAATTTCGGCGGTAAACATATACATGATATGTGTATTAAATTGATCATTTTTATGCATATTATACCACTTTAGTATATTATTCTTTAGATACATTGCTGAAATTAAAACGATTTAATAGAAAGTTACTAATTAATACACGTAAATGAAATCGCGATTGAGATTTGGACTGGAATTTAACCAATCAGAAGAAAGAAAATCAATCTCAAGTTTAGTGAATTTTGCTTTGATTGGTTAAAAAATTCTTTATACTTTATATCCTAGTTTTTATATGCATTATCGCTCTCAAGAAGAAATCAAGAAACCAATTACACAGCACTATGCACTTTTTTTTCTATGCCCCGAAATAAATCGCTGAAATCATTCTTAAATTGTCTGTATTACGGACTAAACGCAATAATTTTTATATAACAATTACTTTTTCCTCTTCTACACATTTAAAAATTCTTTTCCAAGATTGACGTATACACATTAATATGTGTCTATGTAGAATTTATACCGAGAACGAAAAAAAAAAGTTTTAAATTAACATCTTTTATCTTCTCTAATATGGTATCAGAGCTGGCTTATATTGTATCATAGCCTGCATTCAGCAGAAAAAGCAGCTTTGCAACTGTTGTAAAATTCTTTAATATGATTGGTCTTGCCCTTAGTTCCTCATTGGATCTAAATGTATAAACCAATCATCATTCAAGAAACAGTTTTACAGTTACAAAGCTGTTTTCTCTGCTGAACTCAGCCATAGTCATAATAAGAATTATAAACATAGGCTGGTATTTATAATCTTAGATCTTATATTTAGACCGTCTTAAAGTACAGTCTTAAGATGTCATGAACCAATCAGAAGGCCGCATTAGCGACTTAAGACATTGATCAAGATGGTCTTAAAATAAGATCTGATTATGAATTCTTATTACGTCTATGGTTTGTATCAATATATGGAAATGTTAAACGGCGAATTGTTAGTATAAATTACTGCTTATCAGCACTAAATTATTCGATATAGAGGATATCAATACAGTATTGTCTATCACTAGTAGCGCGATATCCAATCAATGTACTGCTTTTCCAGAAGAGCCGTACGCTGATTGGATTTCGCGCGTCGCGAATCGCGCTGGTGTGACGGAGCTATAAAATGCATACTGAACTGCGATAGACGATAGGCGACGGGTGATATCCAATGAGAACTCTGCTTTGCATCGTCACGTGAGTAAAAGCAGGGAATCGATTCTGTATCTTGAAACGAAGTGAAAATTACAAAAGTGAGCGAATTTACTAGAACACTGATAATTTCATTGGTCAACACCTAGTAAATTTGCTCACTTTTGTAATTTTCACTTTGTTTGAAAATACAGAATCGACCCCCCCCCCCCCCCCCCCTTTTTCGCTTATTGCTCATCGCGTTCAGTGTGCAGTAGGCATTAAGTGAAAAGGCCGCGGCGGCGCGCGCGACATCCGGGTTGTGCGCAATCGCAGCCAAACACCAACCGCGAATCCCGGGGCCAGAGTGGAACACTAGAGAAAAATTTCCCAGTAGAGAGAGAGATTTGTTAGCGGAAAAGTCGTGAGTTAATGTAAGTAAATAAAGGACCGTGTGAAAGATATACTTGTCGCCGACGCACGTTTACGGGTAGGGCAGGCCGTCAACGTGCGAAAGAACTTGAACCAAATTCGACGCGGAGATATCCGCAGCGAATCGACGTTTAGTTTCGTTAAAGCATGATTTGGTTTGGCCTCGCGATTAAGGTTAAAGTGAATCAGGGGGTATGTGTGCTCGTGGCTTTTCAGGCCAGCAACCCCTCTGGCGGATGGATCGCGGAATCTCGTGTGACGTTCGCGATGCTACGATGAACGCCATCCTCGTCGCCGTCGTCATCGTTATCATCGCCGTCGCTTGTGCGCCTCTGATACGCGCGATCGCTCGTTGCGTTTACATAAATGAGAAGCTCGAGGCGCGTCGCCGCGGGTAGGTCGATCTCGCAGTCGCGATCGTCTCCTGCGGGAGCCTCGTGCCCTAGTCAGGAAAAAGATGTGTCGAGGAAGTGAGAGAGAGAAAAAAAGAGAAAAACGCACGAGCGAGAGAAACGGCAAGATCGAGATCGACGAAAGAAAAGATTGAGATCAATGATCGAGATGAGGAAGTCTTCCTTTCTCGACGATGTGATTCGATAGTAACATAATGGTAGTCTATCTCTCTCTCTCTCTCTCTCTCTCTCTCTCTCTCTCTCCTTCGTCCACCTCGTCGACACCGTTTGTCCTCCCATCCATCTATCCCTCCCTGTGACCCTTCTCGCGTTCCTCCGATTGTCCCCTCCCCCTCTCCCCCCCATTCTGTATCGCATGAAAATGTTTCTTTCTCTCGCCCACTCGTTGGCGATTTTCCCCCCTCGAAAACTTGGCTGTCGCGAAACTCGCGAAACATAAATCGTCGTCCTTGCGTACTCGTGGCCTAGGAGGCGAGATTGGCAAGAACGAGAGGTGGAATTTACGTGTCATGCTCCACCACCGCCGGCCACTAACCGTAGATAGGATTTTCGCGTGGGTCTCTGTTATTATGGCGTAGCCAGTGAAACTCTCTCTCGCTCTCCGCCGGGGCTTCTCTCTCGCGGACGCCAATCAACAGCTGTTTCGCCTGAACTTCGTCGCCCTCTGATACGGTTCGCGTTTTTCGTCGCGCGACGAAGAAGGGAGATGGAGGGACGCGTGACAAACATACTGAGTCGCGCACAAGAGAGTGAGAGAAGAAAAAAAAGTAGAAAACGGTGTCCCTCTCTTTGTAGAACGGTGCACAGGATTTTTCTGCCGAATCTTCTCTTCCTCCCCCTCACCTCTTCCCCCCCACTCATCGGTCGTCGACGACCTCGACGTCACGGTGAGAGGACGTCGTCGACCCTCGTGCGTAGGGCGTCGTGCGATCCCTCGTGCGTAATCGCGCGAGAATTCCGGTATGCACGTCTCCTTTGTTCACTGCACCTCTCTCGCCATTCGTTCTCCTTCTCCCTCCCCTCCCCCTTCGCCGCCTCCCCCCTTTTTCTCGCGCAGATCTGACAGCTCCTGTCAAAACGGAACTCGCGGAGTTCGTGACCTGTCGTCGCCCTTTCGGTCCGCTCCATCTTCGCTCTTTTTCTCTCTCTCTCTCTCTCTCTCTCTCTCTCTCTCTCCGTCTTTACCCCTCGTCTACACCTTGCGCGCCCGTCTCGCACCTGTTTCGATCTGATAACAGGACGGGAAAAGCGCGTGGGAGTGCAGCTGAGGACAGACGAACGTTTTCTGCGTCTTCTGCGTCGGGTAAAAGCCGTTTGCGCGCGCGTGTCCACGTTTCACGTTATTACCGTCCCGTCGGCGAGAACTGTCGCGCGGAAAAATGTTCGGACGACGATGGGATAGAAACTGTGTCCTCTCGCGAGCGCGGACGTGAAATCCGGATTCCCCTTCCCCCCGAGAGAGCGCGGATGATTAACGGTTTGCTGCGCCCATCTGTTTCAGATCAGGATAAAAGTTTAGCGACGTGTTAAGGTGAAGTCTGCGAGCACTGTCAATTATACTCATCAGCCAGCGATAGGTGACGGGACTTTGCATGTAAGTGAAGTTAAGGTGGCATTTTGGATTTTTGCGACATAAAATTCGAAAAATCTGGTGTCGGATAGACAAAGGGAAGAACGAGCCAGGCTATCTCGACTGATCTTGCGACTGGCGTCGTGTTTTATTTACAGACTTTGGCACTTAGATAAATATTCGTGATTTTGCTCGTCTTGTGACATTCACGAGATTAGCGTAATCGAAGATGTCAGTATTGAATCAAAGCGGCGAGGATGCGGTGGAGTGCCCTCTGTGTATGGAGCCATTGGAGGTGGACGATCTGAATTTCTTCCCATGCACCTGCGGATATCAGATATGCCGTTTTTGTTGGCACAGAATTCGTACCGATGAGAACGGCCTGTGTCCCGCGTGTCGAAAGGCCTATTCTGAAAATCCGGCTGACTTTAAACCCCTTACCAAGGAAGAAATAGCAAGGTATTTACGAATCTGCTTTTAGTTATCCTAATTAATAATATTTGTTAATATATAATTGCGCTATAAAAATACATAGCCTCGGTCACAAGTATAAAGCACCCTCAATTGTATTTTCTTGGAAAAAGTAGTAAAAAGTCACAGTAGAGTAAAATTGATATAGATATAATAATGAATATTTTTTAAATAATTGTTTTTTTAATATATTTTTCGTTAAATATAGAATTGACATATTTATATTAATTTGTGAGGATACTTACAGCTGAGATTCTGTATATTATTGAAAGAAATAATCTATTCTTTGCTCTT